TGCCTCCCAGCGCCCCTCAGTCACTCCACCGCATCTCCTTCGGACACATGCAAGGAAACACACTTGGGAGCAAGCCTATACGTTGATTTATGGCGGTTCAAGGTCGGTTTGATCCAAGGGCAAGGAGAAGGTGTCACCTGGATCAATGACGTGGCACTGGAGTAGCCCTGACTCTTCCTTAGGCTATAAATAGGACCCTCACCTCTCACTTGTAACACACACCACAAGATAAACTCTCTCTACTCTCAAGATGTAGTCTTAGTGTGAGCTTTAGTGGGAGTTAGAGTGAAGAGGAGCTCTTCCTAGAGTCTAGAGTGGTCTTCAGGAGTCTGGTATACATGTGATCTATGCTTTTATTAAAAAAAATACAAAAACTTCAAGTTACTAAGATAGAAAATAGGAAGAGATGACTCTATTTCAGAGCCATTCCACTTCTCAACTTGCTCCAAGAGATATGTTAGCCACTCCACATATCCCACAGGTATGAGTTATGTTTTGGAATAATCCTTATGCTAGTTTCATATCTTGAATAGCTGTGTTTATGTTTACTTTATCTTAACCTTTACTTGGGAGAAGCAAAGATTCAAGTGTTTGGGGAGATTGTTGGCGGTCCTTAACTCATGTAATTTGACCACCAAATCATTCTCAAATGACAATATTCCATGCTACATCAGAGCAAAATATTATTTTATCTAACAAGTTCCACAAGTTTTGGTGCTCTCACTTATTTTATAGGATATTTAATTTATCACCATGTAAAACTATCTCAAATGATGAATTGGAGATACCATTGCTAAGAGCTCATCGAGACAATCAAAATGGATATATTATTTGATATTTTTGGAGCTCGAAATAAAAAGATATGAATTTTGCAAATTAAAAGGAGTGCTGACATCATCGCTGACGTCAGCACCCCAACAGTGCCATGCAGAGCCAACGGGCGTTGGCCACGTGGTGGGCTGGTGGCCACGCCGCGGGCGACCGCGCGCCAAGCGCAAGAGCATGGGAGCCGACCGAAGCCGGGCGCAGCAGGGCCCAGCTGCCCCAACACGGGGGAGCCAATGACCGCGCCAGCCAGTGGAGCGGCGACACGCAGCGCCGAGGCACACGCGTGCGCGCGTCCACGCGGTGGGAACGCGAGAGCTGCATGACCAGGGGCACGTGGTGGGCCGGGACAGGCTGCTGGACCGGTTCAGCAGCAGGAGCGCAGGTGGGAGCGACGGGGCCGTAGTTTTGGGCCGGTGAAACTGCCCAGGTGCCCAGATTTCTCCCCAGAAAAGCTGACAGCACAGATTTCCATCGGTTCAACTCCGGTTCAGGCACCTAGGGTCCAGTTCTTGGTCAGTTTTCTGCGCCAAAACGTGGGTAAATAAGTTGCCGACCTTCCAAGGTCGGTTGTGGCCAGGTGGCGCATGGAGAATGGCTGGAGGAAACTTAAACTTGACTCTTACTCTACCTTGGAGTAGCCCCTGCTCCTCCTAGCTCTATAAATAGAGATCCTCTCCTCACTTGTAAGACACCACATTCAAGAGCTTCATTCCTCCTCATACTCAGTAGTAGTGTCCCTCTAGGTGGCTCTCACCTAGTTGTAGTAGAGAGAAGAGGGAGAGAGGCAAGGCGAGAGCCGAGGAGGAGCCAGGCCTGTCAGATCCTCCTCGACTTTGTACTTCAGCGGGTGTAGCAGTTCTTCGAGCTGCCTCTGGAATATTACTCTAGTATTTCTGGCTTATTTATTTAATTAAGTTCAGTATTTATTTTAAGTTTATTTATTGGATTTCCGCTTGCATCAAGTGCTCTAGTCATAATTAAATTAGAGTAGTAATCAATAGAGTAGGCATGGTGCCTAGTTTTGTGATTACGTAGAATTGCACCTATCCCCACGGATAGTTGTAGTCGCCCCAGGTGGTGACAGCCTTGACGGCCATCGTAGTCCACCACGTTCGGATTGATATTTGTAGGACAGTAGTCGGAGCTTCCTAGCCCCTTTTCTCATCCCTATCTGTGGCTAGTATTCTGATGTCTCGAAGTGAGTAACCTTGAAATAGTCTGATCCTTGATTCTTTAGATTAACTAGGAGACCTTAGGAAATTTCTCTCTACCCACAAAACCTTTTTTGTCCTTTTTATCCTTGGACCAACCTGACCTTTGATTAGTACACTTCACGTTCTCTGTGGAAATCGATACCTTGGAATACTCTTGGGTGAAAGCTACAACGGTATCTGTGCGCTTGTGGATTTCTCTGTTTACGTTAACAAATACCAACAATTATGAATCATGAGCATGTCATTTAATAAATGTCATCGCTTTTTTGCAAATGTACAAATGCCTAATAACATCCTTGTATCCACCAAATATCTATATGTTGAAATTAAGTTATACGAGTATGAAATGTACTCACGGTGCTGCCCTTAATTTGTTTTGTAGGTAATATTATTTTGATTGATTGGAGCCATTGCTCTACTCACCACTGCATAGTAGACCTTGGAGTGGGCGAATCTAAGATGAGCTACAAGTTAACTCCGATAAGAATTCGAGTGAATGAATGAAGAGTTAAACCTAGAGAGGGAATTCTAAAACTTTGTACACTCATGTTTCCCCACCCTTTTAATATAATGATTTTAGTAAATTCCTCTTATCAAAAATTTGTTCTGTTGGCACAATGTTGCGTGTTATGTGTTGGTTCGTCACATGGGGTGTTTTGTGTTACTCGATCGTTACAAAGATCCTGAAGACGAGGACAGGTCCTCACACTCGAAGCCCAAGGAAGTTCCACTGCCTTCCTTGATGGCCTATAAGTACCCCCACTGCCTCTACACACTATAAAAGGGGCAGTGGTGCTTGGTGGAGAAGTGCCCCATTCATATTCAAGCATTCTAAGCTCTCTAGTTTAGAGTAGCTCTAGAGTAGTAGCACAGGAGTGGAAGTAGAGCTAGAGCGGAGCTTCTTCGGAGTTTAGAAGAGTCTTCTAGGTCTGGTATAACTCCTTTGTAATTCTTTTATTTAGCATTTACTTTATTCAGTATTATTACTTTGCTTTGTTCAAGTTCTAGTTCATTAGTGTTCATCATTAGTGAGCTTAGGTGCTTGCTCTTAGCATTAGTATCATAGGTTACCTTTTATTTAGTAGTCATTCGTTAGTACCGGTTCCATCGTCTGGTTAGGGTGCTTTGATCCCATTTCATCGGAGCTCAGATCAAAGTAGTAAGTTTATAGATTAAGTGTGGTGCTTAGGTTATAGATTACCTATGGATACGGCTAGGTCTCATGATAGATTGTGGTAGCTGGCAAGTGGTGGTAGCCTTGTCAATTCTCTATATTTCATCACGATAGGTCTAGTTATTAAATCATAGGGCTCGTGACAGATCTTGTCTAGTTAACTCTTCGGGTTGGTAGGAGGGCTGTGCCCCGAAGTACTAAAGAATTCCTCCTAGTCACTAGTTTACCTTTGTTACTAAAGATATTGCTCGCTCTCCCACCTAGCTATCCTACCTCTAGTTTAGTTTGTTTACTAGTTCACCCATTCATACACCCATCCATTTACAACACCACCCACCATTCCATTCACCCACCCAGGCTAAGGACACCCTTTCCCTTTACCTTTAGCATTCCTAACGATCAACTATACTCATAGCCTCTCGCCTTCCTTTGGAAAAAATATAAATTCGATACTCGGTACTCACCGGACGAACTGCTACACGGTAGTTCTATGCGCTTGCGAAATTCCTCCACTTACTTAAGAAACGCCAATAGTAGGCCGAGTGAGTGACAGTCACGTTGGTCCTTTGAAATCTATCTCCCGTATGTAGGACTAGGACCTGTGTTGCGTCAGAAGAAGTATGTTTTGCTATGCTCTTCCCGAGTAATGTCCCTTGGTGAACACTAGAATACAACACTAACTTAGGTTAAAAGTTAAAAGCCTTAGAAGTCCTCTCTATACTCCTATTTATTCTAACATTGTTGTTATCCTTGGTTAAGTTGGACTATAGTTAAACTCACACGTTTTCCTGTGAATACGATACTTGGAATACTCCGGGTGAAAAGCTACTACGATATTCGTGCACTTGCGGATTTTTCTGCGTGCACCCATAGGTGTCAACCCTCCTTTAATTGCTGCTCTTCCTTCCTTGCTTGCAAGCTCCTTCAACTGTTGCTCTTTCTTCTGTGGAAGCTCCTTCAAAAGCTTCTCGTAGTCCTCCTCCAAGTACCAAAACTTGCAACCAGATCCACTCAAAACCGAACAAAAATCACCAAATATTTTTTTTCATCAATCTAAACAACCAAATCCAAATAACTTGCATTGCAAGCTGGGCACTTGTAAAATATGCAACCTTGATTCCCATTCTCATCAGTTCTGGTCTCTAACTCAAGAACTATGTGAAGCCCACACTTATTACACATGACTAGGTCAAGGTCCGGTCTCTTTATTGGACAAAAATGAGACACCGCGGAGCTCAAATGCTGAGAGGAGGTAGCCACGGCGGCAAATCAACAACGGATGCGGGCAAAGGAAGCTACGATGAGGGGCGATTCAAGTGATGATGGCCGGTGGCGAAAGTGATGGGCACTGTGGTGGCTGCGATAAATGCTCCACAAGAATAGAGACATAGGGTTAAACACATCGCGAGGGGGATTTGCAAAAGCTGTACGCGCATTGGCGTCTAGTTGGGCTACAGTGAAAGTGTTTAGATATCTAAGCATCTGTTTGTAAGTTTAGGATAAGTTAATGACTGTCGGTGGACTCATTTTATAAGTTTGGAAGCAGGACGACATAGGGGCGCAAGTTAGTGACTGAACTTTACTTTTTTTTTTTGGTGGACTCATTTTGCAAGCTGGGAAGCGGGACCAGTGGCACACGTTAGCGACGGATGGTTGATTTTATTTATTTTTTATTTTTTTGCGCTCAAACCTCCCCTACGACCAAAACCGCGTCTCTCCCTCCGTCTCCCTTTCCTCGCATCCCCCGCCTCGATCCGATCGGGGACGGGTCGAGGGGCAGGGGAATGTCGTCGTCGTCAGCGTCGTCTTCGGCGGAGGCACACCACCAGCAGCATTACCGGCGCCAGACAGGAGGGAGTGGTCTCGTGCCGCTCGCCGCGCTCATCAAGGAGGAGGCCCGCACGGAGCGCCACTCCATAGCCGGCGGCGAAAGCAGGATCTCCGCGCGCGACGAGGTCGCGGCGGGAGTAGGAAACTCAGGCGTAGGAGGGGAGGCGGCGGCGGCGGAGACGCGGCTGGAGCGCCCCCTGCTGCGCTATGGGTGCGCCGCGCAGTGCAAAAAGGGCGAGGACTTCTTCTTGCTCAGAACGGACTGCCCGCGTCCTGCCATCTCCGTCTCCTTCCCGGACTCCCCGCACCCTACCTTCGCCGTCTTCGCCGTGAGTACCTATCCAGACATCTCGAATCTCCGCTCTCTATGCATCCATCTCCATCTTCGTCGTGAGTGTGATAGTAGTATTAGTGCCGCGCCATTCTGCATCTGTTGAGGTGGAGGTCGGGAGTATCAGAGTACCAACCTAGACAGCATGGATTTGCTGACCCTAGGAACTTTGCTGCATTGGGAGCTTGGAGTTTGCTTTGCATCTGTGTGAGATGGTTGCTAAATTTGTTTGTGTGCCATGCTGCAGATCTTAGTAGGCCTGTCCCTGGTTTTGGAACCAGGGCACGGGAATTTGAACTCAGAGTTCGCAATTATACATTTAGCTGTTCTTGGAGTGGCTATAAAGTGGAATACATGCATGACGCAGCAATTGCCAAGGATAGACTGGAGTGGTGCCAAGTGCTAATTGTACGCTTCCCATCTTCAGGTACTTGATGGCCATAATGGTAACGCAGCCGCAATATACACAAGAGACAATTTGCTCAACCATGTCCTTAGTGCTATGCCAAGGGGGCTGTCCAGGGATGAGTGGTTGCACATGTTGCCCCGAGCACTGGTCGCAGGGTTTGTTAAGACTGACAAGGAGTTCCAGAGCAAAGGTATGATTCTGCAATCAGCGTTTTGCAATCACTGTCGTGTGTCATCACGAATGCTGATGTCTTTTATTTTTAATGTTTATCAGGGCAAACTTCTGGCACAACCGCTACATTTGTGATAATTGATGGATGGACTATCACTGTTGCCTCTGTTGGTGATTCTCGCTGTATTTTAGATGCCCAGGGTGGGGCTGTTTCTTTGCTTACTGTGGATCACAGACTAGAAGAAAATGTTGAGGAGTGAGTATTAATTACTTTCTAAGTAATGTGTTGTCCTACTTTGCTGGTAATGTTGCATGTCAACAAGCTTTTCTAATGCTTTCTTACCTAGGAATTAGTATTGCATGCATGTGTGATTTCGTTTGTCAACTAAATCAGCTGTAGTAGTCAATTGCTAGTCGCTGAAATGTTTACTACCACCATTTTATAATACAATCATATTTCCATTTCTGCAACTTGACTATGCCATCACTATTAATAAATGTTGAATTACTATATTAATTACTATTGGTAATTATTAAAAAAAGTAGAAAGCTTTTGTTTGCTATAGCCTTGGTTTTGATTCTTGCCTTGTTACCTGTAATTGGTAGCACTTCCTAATATTCTTTCCTCAAGTACCAGTGTGGACATTATTGCTGCGTGGAAGAATATATTAGTAATTTTTGCTTTACCAAAACTATCATGTAAAATTATGGTAGGAGGGAGCGCGTTACAGCAAGTGGAGGTGAAGTTGGAAGGCTCAGTGTTGTTGGCGGAGCAGAGGTGTGCTCTCACTTGTTGTCAAAAGAATATGATTTTACATGCTAGCTTTCTATGCTATATGCATGATACCATGCATTAAATACTAGTAGCTTAACATTTGAAGGACTACAAAACAACATAACAATTGTCCTACTCTGTTACAAGATTGGTCCGCTACGATGCTGGCCAGGAGGTCTATGCTTATCAAGATCCATTGGAGATATTGATGTTGGCGAATTTATTGTCCCTGTTCCATATGTGAAGCAAGTGAAGGTACTCTGTTATTTTCAAAAATAAATGTCAGAAATTCTTCTGTGTTTGATCTTTAGGCTTTCCATTATCCATGGACATGCAATCTGCCAGTATGCTTATTGTTTTATTTGACTTGGTTCATTTTTTCTTTCTCCTAGTTGTCAAATGCTGGAGGAAGACTTATTATTGCTTCAGATGGCATTTGGGATGCATTATCCTCAGAAGCAGCTGCTAAGTCTTGCAGAGGTTTGCCTGCTGAGCTTGCCGCAAAGCAAGTTGTTAAGGTAACTAGTTTACCACTAGGTTATAGATTCTTGTTTATCCTTGATGATGCTTCTTATGGTTGCCAGTTACTATCATTGCATCAGCAGACATGTTTTTTTCTTACCCAAGTACTTGTATGCAATAATCTTTTAGGAGGCACTCAGGACTAGAGGGCTAAAGGATGATACAACTTGCATTGTTGTTGACATAATCCCACCTGGTCAAACAATACGGCCTCTGTCTCCTCCGAAAAAGATGAGCAAGCTGAAGTCTTTAATCTTTAGAAAGAAAGCAAAGGACCCTTCTCAGAAGTTTACTAAACAACATTCAGCTATTGGTATCGTTGAAGAGATATTTGAAGAAGGTTCGGCCATGCTATCAGAAAGGTCAGTTCTATTCTTTCTCCAAATGTTTTCTTGATCAGAATTTCTAGTGTTATTGCACTAGCTCACTGTTGGCACTCCAACTCGATCAGAGCGATCATAAACCTGGTCATCCGATTAATCGTTGACTAGTCGCGATTAATCGTCCGACTAGGTACCCTTACCGACTAGACATCAAATAGGCAGATGGGCTGCTTCAGCTTACTGGGCTAGCTCTGTTTGGGCCAAGCCCATTAGGATTTCTCTCCTATATCTCTCCCACTCTTTTCCTCACCTCCTCACCCCGTGAAAACCTTCATCTGTCGACTGCAAAGTTGCTGTGCGCGTGCAACAGCTGCATCTCTTCCCCATGCAGGTCCAAGGGAGCACGGAGATGAGCTCATCAGTTGCATCAGCTGGTGGTGGTTCAGCATCCTCAGCTTCTCCAGATGTTGCATCCCTTACAGAAAGGCTATAGCAACACAAGAATATGGAGTTCTGGATACTCCAACTAACCAAAAATATAGTCTTGATGCTTGATACATACTATATAAGTATAGTATATGGTATATATACAACAACAACAAAGCCTTTAAGTCCCAAACAAGTTGGGGTAGGCTAGAGTTGAAACCCAACAGAAGCCATCAAGGTCCAGGCACGTGAATAGCTATTTTCCAAGCACTCCTATCTAAGGCTAAGTCTTTGGATATATTCTATCCTTTTAAGTCTCCTTTTATTGCCTCTACCCAAGTCAACTTCGGTCTTCCTCTGCCTCTCTTCACGTTACTATCCTGGAGTATATGGTATATATATCCTACATATATGTCCTGGTATATACAGGACAATTATATAGACGACTAGACTGACCAGGGACGACTAGTCGTCTTGGTCGTCGACTAATCGTCTTGGTCGTCCTGGTCGGGACCGGGACGACGAGCGACGACTAGCCAATTTAATAACCTTGTGACTTGTGATGGATGCAAGGAGCAGGGTCTATTTCGTTTCAAAGGGATTGCACTAGTATTTCTTGTGAACCCCTAAGAAATATACCATGAAGAACTAGGTTAGGCTCTATTAAGCTACATTACCTAGTCCTAACAAAGTGTAGCCTGACAGCCAGCTCGTTCACTCCCAGCCATGTTGTAACTTTTAGGTCATTAACCTATATCTGGCTTGATCGATGACCAACTCCAACATGCATCAATCTTGCTGATAGCAGCTGGGTATGTAGCCATTCTGGACTTGTTCTTGAAGGTGCTTGCAACTAGGTGGGTAAGGGTTACTGCCTAATAATACTATGTGGGAAATTGGTATCTAATGGAACATGGATGGTTGGAATTTTAAGTCAATTGTGTAACTTTTGAGATGACAATTTTCCAATGTTATCAGGACGGCTGGTCGAGCCTGGTCGCCTGGGGATCGTCCAGGACGTCTAGGACGATTAGTCGTCCAGGATGATTAATTGACCCTGGACGAGTCCCCTGGTCATCCCAGTCGTCCCCTACATATGGGGACTGATATATACCATATGTATATATTATATAGTTTTGCTAGGGCTTTCTCAACAAGAGATGCAACATCTTGAGCAGCTGAGGATGCTGAACCAGCAGCAGCTGAGCCTGATGCAACTGAGGAGGCTGGAGCAGAACCATCTTCTCCTTGAACATCGGCCTCAGGCATGTACACTTCCACCTGCGCACCCGCTGGATCTGCAGGCCTGTGCGCCTGCAGCAGCAGCCGCCGCAAGGAAGAGAGGGAGGGTAGCTGGAAGGGAGGGAGGAGCAGCTGGGAACCGGAAGGGAGGAGAGGAGGAGAGGGAGCTGCAGAACTGCAGCAATGGAGGCGGCTGCTGCAGCTGGACGTGAGAGGTGAGAAGAGTGCGTGTGTTCTTCTGACTTCTGAGTGAGTGAGAGGCTGAGTGAGGGGTAGGAAAGAAGAGAAACCCTAATGGGCTTGGGCCAAAACATAAGAAAGCTAACTCGGCCCAACTCTGAGATGCAGTTCACTCTCTGGCTGGATGACCACACAGCCCTGAACGGATGATTAATCGCGACTGGACGACGACTAATCGAACGACCAGGTTTCTGGACGGTCTGGCCGAGTCGCAGGAGGATTAGTCGCGACTAAAGGGCGTACCCAGTGCAGAGAGCTCCCGCTCTGTGCGGGGTCTGGGGAAGGGTGTTAGTGGCAAGCTTTACCCTCGCCTGTGCAATGCGAGGAGACCGCGACTCGAACCTGGGACCTTCCAGTCACAGGCGGTAAGACTCAACCGCTTGCACCAGGCTCGCCCTTCACGATTAGTCGCGACTAATCGTGATTAATCGGACGTCCTGATAACATTGCAGTTTTCTCAAAAACCCACTTGAAATCATACAGTCCATCTCTTGTTAAGAGTCCTTGTTCCTTATGAATCTGTTCCCTTTTGTTCTTTGGCACATGCGAACACAGCTCACATGTTCCTTTTTCCCTTTCTAATAAGAAACCTCTTCGAAGAGGGCGGGAGTTCTTGATATGACGGAAACTAGGCGCAAAAATCTCACAACCACAAGGTTTATTGGAGGAAAATTGGTGAAAAACCTGAGCACGGAAGCCTGGATGACAAACCCTAATCATCCCACTCACTCAGCGGCAGCCTATCACATGTCATTGTTGCTGAGCTTCACAAAAGCGACCAGCAGCTTCAACTGCCCAAGGTAGCATCACCAAGGCCACCAAAACACTGTCACCTACACACAGCCCACACAACTATGCCATGGAAAATCGCAGCACGTAATCGTTGCCAAGCTTGCCGCACTCCATAGCAAGCACCCTAGGAGGAGATTGTCACTACTAGAATCTGATTATTCTTTCATTATTTACTGAATAAGCAGAAAATGAAATGCAAAAACTACAGACTTATCACCTCCTTGCTGCTACCCATTCCGCACATCTTTTTTTTCTCTCTCACGAGCACAATAATTGGAAAGTGTTCCTATGCCATCAATGCACCAGTAAGCAGATGGTATAAGCTCATAAGCGCAACAGATTTCTAGCTGCATATCCATGATGTGGTGCTCCCTTAACCTTCCAGTATACCCTTTTATCCATTATGTACACAGCATCATTGAGGCGACTTCGGCTCATATGATAAATAAAATTTTGAGAGTTGGATATTAATATATCTTTTTATTAGTATCTGCATGCCCTCATTAACCTATAGGTTATTTCTTTTTTGTCTATTTTTCTGCATAGGACAGACACCTTTAACTAGATCCCTTATGTTCGCTTCGCATTTTGGTCCTGAAAGGCTGCTTGAAACTTTACTTCCAGTTCAAATAGCTTTTGTTTTGGAGCACAAACCTTGTCAGTAGCACTTATTGACTCAAGGAAAAAGGTCCGGCTGTGCTCATTCATAAGGAGGGCTGGAAAAGTTAATGTTTTGGAAACAGTTAGTGTGCAAAAGGTGAATCCTACAGTACAAGTAGTATAGATCATGTGAAGATTAACTGACTCTTGAAGCTTGGTACGGGCCTGTTTTTCAGTTGTTTAAGTTGAGAACTGTAATAGTCCTTTCCTGGGGGAGGGGGTGGCGGCTAAGGTTGGGGTCGGCAGAGGAGGAAGTGGCGCTGGGGAGGAGAGGAGAGGAGATCGAGGCTTAGAAGGGGAAGGGGAGATAGAAGGCACTTAGGCCAATTCCTTGCTTAAGATTGAAAGGTTACATAGCCCCCTCGATTTATAGTCCTTGGAGACTTAGCCCCTAAGCAATTTAGACTTGCATACCAAGAAAACTATAAGAAGAGTCCTTATAGATTTTGATTACTTCCTTTACAAGCAATATTATTTATTTCCTAATAAACCTTAATCTTTCCTTCTATGCCGGATCCTCCCGGGTCTCCTGGAGATTGAGGGGCGGCAGCGCCCTGCCCCTGGTGCCGTGCCTCCCTTGCCGTGCGCCGGGTGGCCCTGAGGCTGGCCAGGGCTCGGTCCTGGGCCTCGCCTAGCCCATTTGGCCCTACGTGGGGAGGGGGGTCCCCAGCAGGCGTATGACAAGAACTATCTTGTTTGCACTCAAATTCACTTTATTTATTGTTTTAGATCACTAAATCATACTCCCTCCATTCCAAATTATAGGTCATTTTAGCTTTGCGAGGTACATAGATTTTGCTATGCACCTATATATATATATATGCTACGTCTAGATACATAATAGAAATTAAAATGCACCGTCGGTCCTTAAATTTTTCATGGATTCAGTTGGCTCTCGAACTAGATAAGTGACCATCTGAGTAAACTCAATGTACTGCTAATCCTCACTTGGGTTGTCGAACTAAAAAGGTGACCATCTGGGTCCTCAATCTACTATTGTGCTTGACTAAAGGTACAAAACCCACCATGCCACTACCAATGTGGCCATGTCAGTTAAAGTTGTAAAAAAAAAAAACTCCCCCTCCATCTCTCTCCCCTTGCATGTTAAATGTATGAAGGCCCGTCTACTATCGGCCAATATCGCCCATGAGGCTCCCTATATATGTATATATTCATTTCCGCTAATGGAGTTCTCATCCTCTCAAATCCTCAAAGTTAGTAACATAGTATCAAAGGCAAGGATTATGGTTAGGATTAGATCAATCTATCCACCCATGATCATTTTTTTCCTGGGATCATCCTCTATTTCACGCGGTCCATGTCTTCTGTTGCGGCATCTTTCGTGGCCGCAGCCTCCATCCATCCGGGTTGTCGGCTTCATGAACGGAGAGGACGCCTGATCGTGTTGTTCCTCGTTCGCCGTCTTGCTCGGCTTGCCTTCTTCAAGCCTCATTCGTGTGTCTCCTGTTGCGGAAGTCGCCTCTGCCCGTTCGCCCGTCTTCGCGTCTAGTCGCTGAAGTCACCTCCACCCGTCCATCTCCATGTGTAGCTCATCGTCACCCGTCAGCAGTGATCCTTCTTTCGCTCTTGCGGAGCCCCCTGCATCGACGGCTGTGCTTTAGCGTGTTTGGGCTCGCTTCCTCTGTTTCAGACCAACTTCCACGGGTCTCGTCTGTTTTGGTCTGTTCTGGTAGCCACTGCCCTGTTGATTTTTGTGCATTGATTTGTCGCTGTTCGTTGGTGATTGCCTTGGTTCTAGCAGAACACATTGTCGCGACCCAATATCATTGTTTTTCCTATGATGAAGCTTGATGGTCCGTCTAACTATCAAGAGTGGCATTTTCTGTCAAAACTATTCTGAGGGGCCATGGTCTTGCCTCTCATTTGACAGACTCCTCCAGTTGACAAATCAAAGGATGGTTCTAGTGCTGCTGCTGTCATGGCTTGGACTAATGGTGATGAACGTGTCATGAGTGCCATTCTCACCAGCATGAAACCCTCTGTTCATCATGAGTCTTGAGCACCATGAGTCTATTAAGGAGATGGGGGACTA